CAGGCAGTTTCTGCTGTCAGCGGCCATCTTGGCATGACCTTTTCACCTCAGTGGCCATCTTGGCATGAACTTTTCACCTCATTCCACCACATTTCCCCCTTTTCGTTTATTTTTGAGCAACGGGAGGCATGATTCTTGGCCATACCATTGTTGACCCCGTTTCCATGTGGTCTCTGTACGCAGCTGTGCCTGTCTTAGGTTGTCCCCCAGAGGATCTTACCCGTCATTGACTAACCAGCGCTCAAATGGAGAGACCACAGGATTGCTTGCTCAGATAGGGGTAGGAATGAGGAATAATGGTTATCAGGAATGGCATGACCACACACAGGCTGTGGGCCCTTTGAGTGGCTGACCAGAGGGCGCCAATTTTTACACTGGAATATTATTCAGCAATAAAAAGAAATCTGAAATGCTTATACATGCTAGAATATAAATGACCCCTAAAAACATGCTAAATGAAAAAAGCCAGTCACAAAGGACCACACAGTGTACAATTTGATTCATACAGAATGTTCACAGCAGTAAAATCCAGAGGCAGATTTGCGACTGCCTGAGGGGAGAAAGACTCAGGGACTGAAGACTAAAGGACAGGGAGGTTTGGAGTAATGAGTTCTTCATTACTTATCATGGTGATGGATGCTTAATACCATAATAAAATCTACTGATTTTACATTTTAATTAAGAGAATTGTATTCATATGGTATGTGAATTTTATCTCAATACAGCTACACTTTCCAAACTACTAGTTAGTGCAACACAAAAGGACATACAGAAATCAACTAGGCTAAAGAAGAAACACATAGATCAAAGGAACAAGTTGATTTGAGATAAAACAAGACAAAAACAATTCTAAACTAAATTTTTAAAATTAAGGTACTATTTTGGTGTAGTATTCTTGGCCAGGGGTAATTCTGTCTCCAAGATACTTTTGGCAATGTACAGAAAGGCTTTTTTTATTATTATTTTAACTTTTTTTAAAGATTTAATTTATTTGAAAGGCAGAGTTACAGAGAAAGAGGTCTTCCATCTGCTCGTTGACTCCCCAGATGACTGCAATGGCCAGAGCTGCACTGATCTGAAGCCAGGAGGCAGGAGCTTCCCCTGGGGTCTCCCACACTGGTGAAGGGACCAGACCCAAGGACTTGGGCCATCTTTTACTGCTTTCCCAGGCCACAGCTGAGAGCGAGATCGGAAGAAGAGCAGCCAGGACTAGAACCAGTGCCCATATGGGATGCCGGCACTGCAGGCAGCAGATTTACCCACTACGCCACAGTGCCGGCCCCCAGAAAGGTTTTGGGTTATCAGAGCTCAGGAGAGAAGAGCATATTACAGGTCAAGGATGTTGCAAAGCACCTTACAACACACAGACAATAATATTAACTAATCTAGGTTACCGTATCTAAGTGCTAGTGGTAATATCTTTTCAGAGTTTATGTATTTTGAAAATTCTCATAATAAAAATAAGATGAAAATTATCGTATGTGGGACCAGCATTATGATACAGTGAATTGAGCTGCTGCTTGCAACACTAGCATTCCATATCAGAGATGCAGTTTATATATAAGTCCCAGCTACTCCCTTCTAAGCCAGCTTCCTGCTAGTGCACCTGAGAAGCAGCAGATGATGGCCCAAGTACATGGGTCCTTACCACCCATGTGGAAGACCAGGATGGCACCCCTGGCTCCTGGTTTTGGTCTGGCACCGTCCTATTGTGGACATTTGGGAGTGAATCAGCAGATGGAAGATTTTAATCTCTCTCTCCCTTGACAGCTTCATATTTGAATTTTTATAAGCATGAATTATTTTTTAAATGACCCCTTCAAAAAATTTATTTTCAGGGATGGCATTGTGGCACAATGGGTTAAGCCTCCATCTGCAACACCAGCATCCCATATGGGCTCCAGTTCTAGTGCTGGTTGCTCCATTTCCAATCCAGCTCCCTCCTAATGGCTGGGGAAAGCAACAAAAGATGGCCCTAATCCTTGGGCTTCTGCACCAATGGGGGAGACCTGGAAGAAGCTCCTGGCTCCTGGCTTTGGCCTAGCTATTGCAGTCATCCAGGGAGTGAACTAGCAGAAGCAAGATCTCTCTGTCTCTCCCTTTCCATTTGAAAAACAAAAACAGCTGTGAATGTATGAAGAAACAATAGTTCTGTACAGCCTACTCAAGGCTCAAACAAACAACACAAAGAAGTATTTGAATTAAATGATATGATCTCTAAGAAGTTCCAATACTGCCCCACTTTGAGGGTCAATATATATGGTCAAAGGGGGAAAAAAGTTGGATTTCAACGAACATTATATAAAATTAAAAATTGTTATTTTAATCCTAGCTATAAAAATATTTAAACATTTAAAATTGTTTTTTATAAAAGACCTAAGAACAGAAGCCTGCATCATGGTGCAGCCAGTAAAGTCATCAGTTACAACACCAACATCCCATATGGGCGCCAGTTGCTTCAGTTCTGATTCAGCTCCCCACTAATGAGCCTGGGAGTAGGGCAGAAGATGGCCAAGTGCTTGGGCCTCAGCCATCCACGTGGGAGAACTGGATGGAGTTCTGGCCTCCTTGCTTTGGCCTGACCCAGCTTAAGCTATTGCAGCCATTTGGGGAATGAACTAGCAGATGAAAGATCAATCCATCACGTGCTAGTGCTCTCACAAGCACTCTCTTGCTCGCTCGCTCTCTCAACCTTTCTTTTTTTCTTTTTTTTTTTTTTTGACAGGCAGAGTGGACAGTGAGAGAGAGACAGAGAGAAAGGTCTTCCTTCCGTTGGTTCACCCTCCAAATTGCTGCCACGGCCGGCACACCGCGCTGATCCGATGGCAGGAGCCAGGTGCTTTTCCTGGTCTCCCATGGGGTGCAGGGCCCAAGCACCTGGGCCATCCTCCACTGCACTCCCTGGCCACAGCAGAGAGCTGGCCTGGAAGAGGGGCAACCGGGACAGAATCCGGCGCCCCAACCGGGACTAGAACCCGGTGTGCCGGCGCCGCTAGGCGGAGGATTAGCCTAGTGAGCCGCGGCGCCGGCCTTCTCTCAACCTTTCTATAACTCTGCGTTTCAAATAAAGAAATAAATCTTTTAAAAAGACCTAGGCAGCGCTGGTGCCATGTCAAAGCAGGTTAAGCGGCTGCCTGCGATACTAGCATCTCATATTTGTGCCAGTTCAAGTCCCAGCTGCCCCACTTCCAATCCAGCTAACTGCTCATGGCCTGGGAAAAAAGGGAAGATGGCCCAAGTGCTTGGGCCCCTGCACCTGCATGGGAGACTCTGGAAGACTCGGCAGAAGCTCCTGGCTCCTGGCTTTGGATCAGCCCAGCTTTGGCCATTGCAGCCATTTGCATAGTGACCCAGTAGATGAAGACTTCTCTGTCTCTCCCTTTCTCTGTCTATAACTCTGGCTTTCAAATAAATAAATAAATAAATCCAAAAAAGAGGAGGGAGGGAGGGGACTTGGGTTCCAGCACTGTGGCATAGCAGATAAAACTGCAGCCCACGACACCAGGATCCCACTGGGCACCAGTTCCTGTCCTGGCTACTCAACTTGTGACCCAGTTCCATGCTAATGGCCTGGGAAAAGCAGCAAAAGATGGCCCAAATGCTGGACCCCTGCACCCACTTAGGAGGTCTGGATGAAGTTCCTGGCTTCAGCCTGGTCCACGCTGGCCATGGTGACCATTTAGGGGGTGAACCAGTGGATGAATGATCTCTATGTCTCTCCCTCTAACACTTCCTTTCAAATAAATAAACAAATCTTTAAACAAACAAAGAAAGACCTAAGACCAAAGAATTTTAAAATTGCATTTAAGGGGCTGGCACTGTGGTGTAGTGGGTAAAGCCACCAGCTGCAGTGATGGCATCCTATATGGGCACCGTTTCAAGTCCCGGCTGCTCCACTTCTGATGCAGCTCTCTGCTATGGTCTGAGAAAGCAGTAGTAGATGGCCCGTGTCCTTGGGCCCCTGCAACCACATGGGAGACCCAGAAGAAATTCCTGGCTCTTGCCTTTCGATGGGCCCAGCTCCAGGCCATTGTGAGGTGTGAACTAGTAGAAAGAAGACCTCTCTCTCTCTCTGTAATTCTACCTTTCAAATAAATAAATAAATCTTTTTAAAGCATTTTTTTAAAATGTCCTCTCTGGGGGCCAGCGTTGTGGTGTAGTGGATAAAGCCATCACCTGCACCACCCATATCACCCACATCCCATATGGGTGGCTGTTTGAGTCCTGGCTGCAAGCAGTTCTAATCCAGCTCCCTGCTAATGCACCTGGGAAAGCAGAAGACAGTCTAAGTGATTGGGTCCTTACACCCATATAGAAGACCCAGAAGCAGTTCCTGGCTCCCGGCTTCGGATCAGTCCAGCTCCAACTGTTGTGGCCATTTGAGGAGTGAACCAATGGATGGAAAAATCTCAATTGCTCTCTCTCTGTAAATTTTGCCTTTCAAATAAATAAATAAAGCTTAAAAAAAATACACACAACAGTACTTGGCACGTGGTATCCTCTGTCATTATTTTTCAAAAGCAAAGTTCTTTCTAAACGATGATACAGGTTCTGGTTCACTATGTTCTTGAAACAATTACAGAAATTTTTCATGAGGAAGGGAGCACTACTCCACTATCTTTTTTCAAGGCAAGAAAATAACAAAAAAGAAATTTAAATCGTGAATGTCTGGGTTGCTAAATAATTGCCTATTTCATAAAGGTAATACCACTCTCTTTAGATTCCCTGTCATTACAACACGTTACACTAAAGTAAAATGGCAATTTTTTTTAACATAATACAGTATTGCACTTAACATTTTGAACCTAAATTCTGTTTACTGCCTACCTCTCTCTATCTGGACCACATGATAGCACTTAAAGATCCTCAAACTTCATCATGCTCTATCACCATCTCTCATGAAAAAATAAGCTGAGTTACATGGAAATTCATCTTAACTTCCTTTATAACTGAATCAGAAAGAATAAATTTAGTTTAAACATCAGAAGACTTCCACTTACATGTGATCCTCCTCTAAAGCACATAAAACTTTGATCAAAGCAGTTCACTTGTGCAAAACAAGATAAAACAGTTCCTATCCATGGGCGGGCATTTAGCCTAGCAGTGAAGAAATACTTCTCCCATATCAAAGGACTTGGGTTCCATATGGGGCTCCTGACTCCTCCTTCCCACCAGTACAGACCCTGAAAGCAACAGCAATGGAACAAGTCATTAGGTTCCTGCCACCCCTAAGAGAGAGACCCAGCTTGTCCTTCCAGGCTCAGCCATCACCAGCGCCAGTTTGACAGGCACCTGGAGGGCAAAACATCAGATGGGAGCTACGTGTCTCTCGTTCACTCATGCACTCTCTAGCCTTCCAAAGAAGAATAAAATTTAAACATGCCATATTCATAAATAACCCCATTTATCCCTCATTCAAGTAGGATTATAACAATATAAAAATAACAGTCCCAATATTTATAATTCTTAACTTCTGCTTTCCCCCCATAATACTAAGTCCCAGAGGAATCAAAATAACACAAGCCTATCACGGTGGAGAAATCTAGATCCTCAAGGCTTAACCCTGGCCTTTCACCAATCTCCCAGCTCTTCCTTTGTTATGAGAAGGCAAGCCCGCCCTCTAAAATAACAAGAGCTATCATTTACCAAGTGCTGCCCACTGTCTAGGACTTTGACTAGCTGCTTTAAATATATCCAACTCTCCTAACTGTGACAGGTAGGGAACCTTTTTTTCTGCCAAGGGCTATTTGAATATTTATAACATCATTCATGGGACACACAAAATCGTCAGCTTAAGAATTAGCCTGTTATAGATTTACTGAATTTCAAGTCCCACCTGCTTTTGCCTTGACAGGGCCAGACCAAATGATTTCTCAGGCCTTATATGGCCCATAGACTAGATATTCCGCACCCCTGCTCTAGGACACAAATTACATTAACTAGATCAACTGATAAAGAAAAACAGCCAAGTCATGGAACTGGAGCTTGGTTTAAAATCTAAGCATGTTCTGAATCATTATTTTACAATGACTCTAGCTTTTTTTTTTTTTTTTTTCAAAAGGGAAGGGGCAAAATACTGCATATAATACCTGAGTAATCAAGTTATTTATTAAGGTTCAAAAAATACAACAATCAGAAAACCCAGAAGTAATCTGACACCAACATCAAAAGCCCTTGATAAACTTTAAGAATCTGATATAGATATTTTAGGTATTAAAATAACTTCCAATGTATACTTAGAGTTAGTACAAATTCTGATAAAATTCATTCAAAATCCTGACTACAGTAACAACTCAACATCAGAATGATAACCATGATCCTGAAAGTACAAAATCCTCTTAATTTACAACAAAAATTAAGCTCAACAGCATTCCTTACCTCAAGAAATGATGAGGCTTTTTCATCAAAAGTAATTCAGGGTGAGCCGGCGCCGCGGCTCACTAGGCTAATCCTCCGCCTAGCGGCGCCGGCACACCGGGTTCTAGTCCCGGTCGGGGCGCCGGATTCTGTCCCGGTTGCCCCTCTTCCAGGCCAGCCCTCTGCTGTGGCCAGGGAGTGTAGTGGAGGATGGCCCAGGTGCTTGGGCCCTGCACCCCATGGGAGACCAGGAAAAGCACCTGGCTCCTGGCTCCTGCCATCGGATCAGCGCAGTGCGCCGGCCGTGGCAGCCATTGGAGGGTGAACCAACGGCAAAGGAAGACCTTTCTCTCTGTCTCTCTCTCTCACTGTCCACTCTGCCTGTCAAAAAAAAAAAATAAATAAATAAAATAAAATAAAATAAAAAAAAAAAAGTAATTCAGGGTGGATGTCTGGCACAGCAGGTAAGTTCTCACTTCTTATCAGAGTGCCTGGTTCAAGGCCCTGCTAATCCTGGGAGATGGAAGATGATGGCTCAAATACTTGGGTCCCTGCCACCTGGTAGCTTTGGGATCCACAGGAGAGAAGGCCTACACTTCCAGGAATGGAGAGTCCCTACCCGAACTTCCAGGAACGAAAAGTCCTTGTCAAGGTCCCCATGGGTGCCCAAAGGTCAACCAATGAGGATCAGACCTGCCTCAACCTTTAATCCCCATGCCCTGTATCTATAAAAGAAACCCTCCCAACCTCTGACAGGCGACTTCCCCTGGCACCCCCCCCTCCAGCCCTGTTGGGACCAGTGAACCTCGTCCGGGAGCGGAATCCCACTAAAAGCTTGTGAATTAATTGATTCATCTGTCTGGGAAGATTTGTTACACGCTGGGCACCTTCCACCACCCACACAGGAGACTCACACAGGCTCCTTGGCTTCCACAGGACCCAGCCCTGGCTATTGCAGATTTGGGGGGAGTGAACAGCAAATGGCAGATCACTCAACATCTGTCTCTCTGCCTTTCAAATAATAAAAATAAAAATTCTACAAAAAAATATAAACTCCGACAATCATACAAGTAAATTAATACTGGGTTACACTGTATAATGGAAAACATATAAACCATTCTACATTCACACTGAAAATTAACAATGGAAAACACTTTTTAACCCCACAATGAGACATATGAAAAAGTGAAAGCTGGGGCCAGAGTTCTGGCATAGCAGGTAAAGCTACCCCTTGCGATGCCAGCATCCCAGTTGGCGTCCTGGCTGCTCCACTTCTGATCCAGCTCTCTGCTAATGGCCTACAAAAGCAGTGGAAGACAGCCCAAGTGCTTGGGCCCTGCTACACTCCTGGGAGACCTGGAAAAAGCTCCTAGCCCCTGGCTTCAGCCAGGCCCACCACTGACTGTTATGACCATCTGGGGAGTGGACCATGGGATAAAAGAACCCGCGCACACGTTCTCTCTCTCTCTCTCTCTGTCTCCCTCTCTCTGTAACTCTTTCAAATAAATAAAGACCCTCTGATATTAAAAAAAAAAAAAAAAGAGAGAGAGAGAGAAAGAAAGGAAAAAATAAAGTTAAATTTTCAATTGTGACCATTGTAATGTATTTGAGCAAGGAAGGAGGGTGAAGGCTGAGAAAAACCTGAAAGAACACACTGCAGGTCTACAAACATAAAGAATTATAAAGACAGGGGCAGAGGCGAGAGGACATCAACATACCCATACAGCACAGCAACAAGAAAGAAAAAACTACATACAGAAAGGAAAATGGGGAGCCAGCCTTGTGGCGTGGTGGCTAAAGCCACGACCTGTGACACCAGCATCCCATGGCTCCCTGCTAATGTGTCCGGGAAAGCAGTGCCAGGTAGCCCAGGTCTTTGGACCCTTGCCACACACATGGGAGACCTAGATGAAGCTTCTGGCTCTGGACAGACCCAGTCCCAGCTGTTGTGGCCATTTGGGGAATGAACGAGCAAACAGAAGTAAATAAATCTTTAAAAAAAGAAACAAAAATAAAATGGTGAGACAGACTTGCCCACAAAGAATTCTGATGGCATAACCTCCAACAAGTAAAATGGTAAGATATGAGGAACACCCCACTCCTTGACTATAGCAGTCGACTGTATTATTACAGGAATCCAGATAAGCAGCTGTTGTGTAAAGGGACTGAAATAATTTACATGCTTAATACCCATAATTTAGATTTCCAGCAATACAACCATGTAATAACTCAGCCCTGAGTTCTTTTGTTAACCTACTGCACAGTACTACTAATACCTACCAAGCCAATTATACCCGAGGTGGAAATGGGGAGGGGGCTTTTACATTCCTCACCTTTCTGTCCTCTTTTAGGCAAACGATTCAACAGAATTTTAATAAACCATAAACATTCTCAAGCCTATTTGGTTTTTCGGAAACCTTTAAATAAATTTAAAGCTACTTCACGTAAAAGTTTATTAAATTGACAAAACTATAGATCTTAATTCAGAAAACTGCAACAGCATTTTTAAAGCACAATATAGGAGTGTACCATAATTTTTCCTTTCATTTCACTTACAATAAAAGTTTCAGTGGTCAGAGAAACAACTGGTCAGCTAAAAATTCTTATTATGATCAATTCATATTATACAGGTATCATCCTTCTTGATTTCTTTAAAAAAATATTTATTTGAAAGTCAGAGTTACACAGATAGAAGAGAGGCAAAGAAAGAGAGAGAGGTCTTCCAACCACTGGTTCACCCCGCAATTGGCCGCAACGGCTGGAGCTGTACCCACCTGAAGCCAAGAGCTAGAAGCTTCTTCTGAGTCTCCCACACGGGTGCAGGAGCCCAAAGACTTGGGTCATCTTCCACTGCTTTCCCAGGCCATAGCAGAGAGCTGGATTGGAAGTGGAATAGCCAGGTCTCAAACCAACGCCCATATGGAATGCCGGCACCACAGGCAGCGGCTTTACCCACTAAGCTATAGCACTGGCCCTGATTTCCTCTTGAAACCCAATCTTGACCTACCTCTTATTACTCACTTTGGAAATGTAATAAATAAATCAGAAACTCAGTAAAAACTGACATAGGAAGCAAAGAAATAATTAGGTTATCTGGGTCAAAGAAGACCACTTTGACAGTTTAAAACTTCTTCAAAGAAACGAAGAACACAGAAAGCAACTTCCAATATTAAATTCTAAATCTGGAACACAAGCCACTTGCTATTTGTATGAGAGAAAATAATAATAACACAAAGTATTTACTGAGTGCTACTGTATGAATCACTGCACTGTATCTACCATATGTTACCTCCCTTACATGATAGCCACAAAAGCACTGCAAGGTAAGTACCATTAATTTATAACTGAGGCTCAGAGAGATTAGTAACCTTTCCAACACTAAAATGCTGAGAAGTGACAAAACTTAGATTCAGATCCAAATAATCTGACACCAGTCACCAGTCTTCTTCAGAAATCAGGAATATTCACTTTGTGATTACAAAGTGTACCTAACAGCGATTAACACTCAGTCCCAGTACCAAGACAGTCTATTTCCACAGTCACACAAATGTTGCATTGGTGCCTAATCTGTGACTGAATATACCAGATATTACCTTCTAGACTCTTCTGGTACATAAAATACATTTTTAATTGTCATAAAATATCACCATGCCTATTTGGCTTTTCTAAAACCCTCAAGTAACCAACACCCACTATTTGTGAAGTACTTGATGTCCATTGCTTCTTCTGTCCTTTGTTGAGTTCCACTCTTCAAGTTTTCTCCAAAGTCCCTCTGGTTCATTTCCTTTACGCTCCTGACTTCTACCTAAGCAAGACTCCTGGAACAGGTGCTGACCACTTACAACTGTGTTCAGAAAAGATCAGATCATAATCACTCACATGTGAAAGATTTTATGTACGTAAAAGATGCAGCTGATTTTATTCATGATACCTGAAACCTAACAGTATTTCTCAGTTGAGAAAAACACTAAGAAATAAAGTCAATCTCAGACTCAGGAAAAGAAATCAAGTACAAACGGCAAAATACAATATTATGCTTGGACCAGAAACTTTCAGTAACATATATTATCTTCAAGTCAAACTATTTCCTAAAATTTACGAAATAACTGAAAATGAGATGAAATCTTATTTCAGATTTAGCTATTCTACTAAAACTGTACAACTTCAATCAGTTTTATAACTTCCAAGCCTCAGCTGATGGTGAACACAAAGGTCCTGCTTTACATACATACGTCCTCACTCCACTCTCACCTGGAGTCATAAGAAGTCACGGGACAAAGATTATATACTCCCTCCTGGGCCAAATCACAGCCAGGCTAAAAATAGCTGGGAGTTTTGGGAGCAAAACCCGTTTGGACTTAAATACAGTAACATCCAAGGACTCTACAACAATGCAGAGCTGAGGTAAAGAGCAAAGCAGAATTCACTTTAGGGTCTTCACTGATGGCAGAAGGCAAGGCCCCATAGAAACTGGAGAAAACAGTGCAATAAGTCAACAATAGTGAATTACCCCAGCTGACTCCAATGAGCCTCTCATACTGACTTCAAGTGTATATTACATTACACCACTATACTAGTTTAATTTTAACAGCTGAACAGAGAAGAATTATTTTATTGGGCTTCCCTGGTACATATTACTGCTGAACATAAAATGAAATTACAGAAAGGAAAATGATCTAATAGCATTCTGTCCCCAACCATGACAATGAGAGGCATTTTAAGCCAAGAGCTGCGACAGCAGCTGCCCTCCTTGGAAATGTACACCTAAAATTTCCAACTTTAAAATCCATGAGCAAATTTTTATTCATACTTGTAAACTTTCAAGGCACCATTAAAAGTCATAAAATCTAAAACACTCAGCAAAGTACCATGAAAATCAGCATTATTGTACTATTATAAACAAAGCTTTAAGTGAATTTGATTCAAGGATAAAATTTTAAGTGGTGCTCATGAAATGATAATTTCAAGTAGTAAGAGAGGAAAAAAATCTCCTTGTATGTATAATTGATTATATCAAAATAACAACCTAATCATGTTTTCCCTACAGAGAAAATTATGACAGAATTCTAATTCCTAATTAAAAGACACCTGTTTGATTTTCTTGGTTGAACTGATCCCAAACATAATATTCAACCACAATTTTATTTACTACATAAAATATTTATTGGCCACAGATAGCAACCAATCCTTTAAGAGTAATTAGTAGGGCCAGTGCTGTGGCACAACAGGTTAAAGCCCTGGCCTGCAGTGCAGGCATCCCATATGCACACCGGTTCGAGACCCGGCTACTCAAATTCC